CCACCGATGCCCCGCCCCCAGTCTGCCAAAGCCCCACCCCCAGCCCACCCACCAAGCAATGCGTGGAGGAGGGAGGGAGGAGGAAGGAGCCTCCCTGTCCCTCACTTGCTAGTCAGTGTGAGGCATCGAGATTGGTGGCCTCAATTTGTTTTATTTTTTTTGATTGGACAGCTTGGACCAATGACACTTTGCCATTGGTCCAAACCATCCACAGAGCTCAAGCCTCTAACATAGAGTAGAGGCTGTTGCAGCTCTTGCCTCACTAGTTAGGTTACACAAGCAGTGGGGAAAGCCGCTGCTGTGTAACCTAACATAGCTGTCAAAAGCCAGATGCAGCACCGCCTGTGATTAACAGGCAGCACTCCTTCCATGAGGCTTTCCCTGCTGTGTAACCTGTTAAAAGCCGGTCTGAATGGAGAAAAAAGCCTTGACTTGAAGCCGACAGCTTTTTCCTCCATAATACTCTGCCTTACTTGCCTCCCCTCACCACACGTCCCTGCTTTGCAGTGTTGGTTATGAAAGATTTACACTTGCAGCTTATTTAGTTTTACTTGCTTTGTCTGAGGACAACTCCTTCCTGAGGTCTGACAGTTGCTATTCTGTTATTTGCCTGATATCATGCAGTAAACACACTGTTTTGCTGTCCCTGAGTGTGCATGGAATACCCATATGTTAGAGGTCCAGGGGCAGGAAGACAGTGCAGGTTATGAGTATGAGAGCCTTAAATATAATACACTTTATATTAAGTCATTAAATATTTATGTATACTATATAATTAATTTACAATAGTAACTTGATGCTTCACAAATATTACTAATTATAGCATTTACTTGCAGACTACCTCACCTGCAAATGGACATTGCTGTTGTGGTGCCTTTCTGAGAAGAGCAGTCTTCAGAATTCCATTGCCTGTTATGCCAGGACAAACACTGTGTCCACTGAATGTCAACAGCATATTGTACAGTTTTGGATATGTATTCATTTTTTGGGTGCCTGTTGTAGTCTGCATCCATCAAAGCCAGGTAGACACTGCCAGAATCTATTTTAAGACAAATTTAAAAGTTATAAATTGAATAATTTAATACGTTTTTTATGAATTTCTATAAATACATAGTTTTCCATACATGTACCTTAAAGGAATATGTGACAGTTTGAAATTTTTTTTTTTATATCTATCTATTATTTAGACTGATACATTATTGTTATTTTAACTTTTTACCAAAAGATATTACAGTTAAAAATATATGGCGATTGGACTAAAAATGCAGACTGCCTAGACAGCTGCAACACTTTGTCCAGTCACTTAGCAGACCCTTTCGTACACGCCAGAATTTCCTGCCCTTTGAATCTATCCTAGGGTCCACCACACACACACACACGTCACGGTCTTTCTGTCACTTATAAGATTCTAGCCAGTATCACAACAGAATCGCCTCCACCTTTCTTGGCTAAATGGGAACAAGAGCTAGGGCACACCCTACTGCCATCTCAGCGCTCTAAACTGTTGCTAATGTGCTCCTCGGTATCTCCTGATAGCTACATGATGGAGGTTAATTTTAAGCTCCTGGCCAGATGGTATCAGGTCCCCACCACACTACACGCTATCTGCAGCGATAATTCCCCCCTGTGCTGGCGTCAATGTGGCTTGACAGGCACGTTTGCCCACATATGGTGGGAATGCCCACTCATACAGCAGTACTGGAAAGAAATCACCAGCCACATATCTTCTATTAGTAGTAGCATAACGCCGTTAGATCCATGGGTATGCCTCTTCCACCTCAATCCCCTATCAGCACGCTCGTATAAAAAGACCGTAATCCCTTTCATGCTTAACGCAGATATGTTTGGTGGAGTCAATGACCGAGAAAGATCTGAAAAAAAGCATGCAATGTCAAGCTGCAGTTTCTAAAGCAAGCAAAATACTTTCTTGTATTAAAAGGGGTGTAGACTTCAGAGATAGACATAATCCTGCCCCTGTACAAAGCATTAGTAAGGCCTCATCTGGAATATGCAGTTCAGTTTTGGGCACCGGTTCACAAAAAGGATGTTGTGGAACTGGAGAATGTACAGAGAAGGCAACTAAACTCATAAGAGGCATGGAGGAACTAAGCTATGAGGAAAGATTAACTGACCTGAATTTGTTCTCTGGACAAGAGGCGATTAAGGGGGGACATGATCACTATGTATAAATACATAAATGGTCCATATTGTGAGGTTGGTGCCAAATTATTCACTTTAAGGTCACTGCAAAGGACAAGGGGGCGCTCTTTGCATCTGGAGGAAAATAGGTTTAATCTTTGCATACGGAAAGGATTCTTCACAGTTAGAGCTGTGAAAATGTGGAATAGACTCCCCCAGGAGCTAGTTCTAGCTACCTCAGTACATCTGGATGTATTCCTAAATGCACAGAATATTACTGGATATTGAGCTCTTATAGCTACACTATATTGCCAAAAGTATCGGGACACCCCTCCAAATCATTGTATTCAGGTGTTCCGTGAAATTTCCTTGCTACTAAATACTCCGGGATCAACTGTTAGTGGTATTATAACAAAGTGGAAGCAACTGGGAACAACAACAACTCAGCCACGAAGTGGTAGGCCACATAAAAGACAGAGTGGCGTCAGAGCATTCTGAAGTGCACAGTGCGCAAAAGTCGCCAACTGTCTGTCAATAGATACAGACCTCCAAACTTCGTGTGGCCTTCAGATTGGCACAACAGTGCGTAGAGAGCTTCATGGAATGGGTTTCCATGGCCGATCAGCTGCATCCAAGCCTTACATCACCAAGTGCAATGTAAAGAGTCGGATGCAATGGTGTAAAGCACGCCGCCACTGGACTCTAGAGAAGTGGAGACTTGTTCTCTGGAGTGACAAATCATGCTTCTCTGTCTGGCAATCTGATGGACGTGTCTGGGTTTGGCGGTTGCCAGGAGAACAGTATTTGCCTCACTGCATTGTGCCAAGTAGTGTAAAGTTTGGTGGAGGGGGGATTATGGTGTGGGGTTGTTTTTCAGGGGTTGGACTTGGTCCCTTAGTACCAGTGAAGGGAACTCTTAAGGCATGAGCATACCAAGACATTTTGGACAATTTCATGCTTCCAACTTTGTGGGAACAGTTTGGGGGTGGCCCTTTCCTGATTCAACATGACTGCGCACCAGTGCACAAAGCAAGGTCCATAAACACATGGATGAGCGAGTTTGGGGTGGAGGAACTTGACTGGCCTGCACAGAGTCCTGACCTCCACCCGATAGGACACCTTAAGGATGAATTAGAGCGGAGACTGCGAGCCAGGCCTTCTCGTCCAACATCAGTACCTGACGGAATTCAGTATAGAGAAGGGAAGGAGGGGCCCATGATCTTTGTATGCCGCATCTGTGCAACATGATGAAGGCAGCATTTTGGCATGTGCATGTATGATTGACTGTAAATGGGTCACTAGTGTGTATTGATGACCACTAACAGAATAGGATGAATTCTGTATAGAATTCAAATATATTCATATTAGGGATGTTTCTGGTGTGAACTAACCCTTACATTTTTTAATCAGATCAGCCTTCCGGGGAACTGGGAGTAGCTGTGTTTGACGCTGTCTGCCAGGTCCCACGTCTCCTCCTACTGATTCCTGGTGCAGGCACAGCTTGAGGCAGCCCCACATCTTGAATACAGCCTCGGAGCGGGCACGGGCCGGCACCCACTCACTACGCGCCCATGGAGCGTGCTCAGCACAGCACCTGTCTGCAGCCCTGGAGAGATGCAATATGCAGCGCCAGAGAGACCCAATAGGCAGCCCTGGTGACATCTAAACGCAGCATTGTAGAGACTCATTGGCAGCCCTGGTGAGATCCGGACGCAGCCTGACGAGAGATCCGGACGCAGCCTGACGAGATCCGGACGCAGCCGGACGAGATCCGGACGCAGCCTGACGAGATCCGGAACGCAGCCTGACGAGATCCGGAACGCAGCCTGATGAGATCCGGATGCAGCCCAGTGACATTTGGACGCAGCTTGGTGACATCTGGAGTCCAGGTGTCACCAGGCTGTGTACAGATCTCACCAGGCTGTGTCCAGAGAATATATCTATACGCAGCCCTGGAGAGACTCATTGGCCAGATGTCACCAGGCTGCGTACAGATCTCACAAGGCTGCGTAGATTCTGGACACAACCTGGTGAGATCTGCACACGCAACCTGGTGAGATCTGCACGCACAACCTGGTGAGATCAGCACACGCAACTTGGTGAGATCAGCACACGCAACCTGGTGAGATCAGCACACGCAACTTGGTGAGATCAGCACACGCAACTTGGTGAGATCAGCACACGCAACTTGGTGAGATCAGCACACGCAACTTGGTGAGATCAGCACACGCAACTTGGTGAGATCAGCACACGCAACTTGGTGAGATCAGCACACGCAACTTGGTGAGATCAGCACACGCAACTTGGTGAGATCAGCACACGCAACTTGGTGAGATCAGCACACGCAACCTGGTGAGATCTGCACACGCAGCCTCGTGAGATCTGGATGCAGTCTGGTGAGAAACTGCCCTAAAATCATTAGTCTGTATTGTTTTAGAAACAAAATGTCACATGTCCCTTTAAGAAAAAGTATCCGTAATTTGTATCGGCAAGTACATGAGGAAAAGTACTTGTACCTGATCTTAAAAAAGTGGTATCTCTAATTCATATATATTCTTGCTCAGAGTCAGCCAAATGCTACAAAACTGAAAGGGCTGTGTTTTTCAGTACAGACTGACCATGGCCCACACATGCTGCAAAAGCAACACAAAACAACCTGCAAAAGCAACTGCTGAAGGCACGAAGTGAAATATTCTTCAATGGCCAAATCACCAAGTCACCTGAGCTCAATCCAAATGAACATCCATTTCACTTGCTGATGACAATACTGAATCAAATCAGCCCTAGGAAAGAAAGTCATTGATTGGAAAATATTTTCAACAAAGTATTGAAAATGATCATACGATTTATGAGTATTCTAGTTTGTCCAATTACTTTTGAATTTCGAAAAATGGGGGGACTATAATTTTTTACTACTTTCTTAAAGTACTCCTAAATATAAAAAACTGTTTCCTTATGTGGCTGTTTTTGCTTTTTTGCTTAGACCTCATGCTTATAGTCATGATAAGCCAGGGATGGCTCAGAAAAAAAAGAGGAAAAATAAAGACATATTTTTGTTTATAAAGCAGACATGCTGAGCATTGTGTTTCTTGTTCCGCGGCTAGATCTGCAAGAAAATTCTGAGACTAAAAACGACCTTTTAAAGAGTATGCAGGAATAAATATCTGTGTGGAGTTTTCATCCAAAGAATGAACTTGCTTTAAATTGAAATTCAGAGGCGTAGGTTTTTTGGAGTATCTGTTAAAAAAAGAGATTACAACAAAATAACAACAGTCACTTTTTTATCCATGACAATACATTTCTAAGTGTCAGAAATGTAATTGATTTCCCCAGTATACATTTAAACAGTAATAATTTGAACAACTTTAAAAACTGTGATACAGAAATGTTAATGGCGCATTACCCAAGTCAATTCTATGGACTATAACTATAATCAAATCTGCCACTTTCCATCTCCAGAGCCTCACTTTTGGTCCATTCATTATTATGACGGGCAGCTGTACTGACCAATAGATAATTGTAAAGCATTGGAACTAGTCCTCTGACCACTAAACACAGATTGGGCATGCTTTATTACAGTGAAATAGGGGAGGCAAAGGGATCTCTTGAGAAGCATCTGTGTTGCATTTTGGGATGCAGGTATGTGCCTAGAGACAATTTAACCCCTTCATGACTGAGCTAGTTTTCAGGTTCTGTTCATAAATGACTGACACATTTTTACATTTTTGCTGTGTGATTCAGGTGGAAGCACTATAAAACACAGGTTGGTGATCTGTGCTTAGGACACTAAAGATCTGAAGATCTGTCAACCCAAAACACAATGTACTGAGGAGTACCGATTTTTCCAGACGATTACAAAAAAAACACAACAACTTTATAACATGTTCCTTTCCGTACAAATTCAATAACAATAATGCATATCAGTTAATTATATTGTACTCTGTAAATAACACTACTAATAAGTGTTAAACAAAGTGCTCCTTACCTTATCAAAAGTAAGACAGGAAAGGTTCTGGGTCCAGGATCATAAAATGTAATCATTATTCTTAAAGCAGAATGTTTGGCATCAGTAGTTGTGTTAAACTGATGAAAATTTATGTTGTCCCGAAATAATGAAAAATGGGTTTTGTTCATTGCTGTATTCTGAAATAAGTGAACAGGTCAAGCAACATTTTAATATACTTGCCTAAAAAAAAGCACATCCCCTATTCATGGTCCCACTGTTTTATTTTCCCCTTTTAAACCCCAATAAAAACTTCAGTCAGTGTATACATGTCTCTCCAGTAAGACAATTTTTTTATTTTTTTATTTAACCAGGCCCTCTTTAGCCGATCTTCAGAACACCACTGCTCCCAGTAAGATACTGTATATCCAGATGTCTCTGTATGTGAATAAATTAAAGTGGGTCCATTAAAATTATCCAGAAGAATACCAGTGATAAAAAAAGAGGTTACCATATACAGGACCGTATTTACCATTTAGCTGTGTAGACTTTTGCCTGTAACTGGCAGAGGCGGCTTTTGCCTGTATAGTTTTTGAACACTTTTTTTTTTGGGTTATCTCATATACCGTTTTATGTCTAATTATTCTAAGATGGGTTATGTCTAGTAAAACAAGAAAAGGTTGTGTGTAAAATGAGGCGATCTTAGCAGTGTGGGGTTCCTTTGGGTGTCAAAGGTTGAGTGCCTATAGGCTCCAGTGATGAAAATCTAGCCCTGACCATATGTGAAATAATTTCATATACTCTGCCCACTGACTGGAAGCTACAATCCTGCAAACAAACTGCCATAACTGCAAATTTAATTTTCAATACCTTCTAGGTATAAGTCATGTAATCACTAACTTACTTTGATTTTTTTGTTGTCAATCTCCATGGTCACCGGTGCTGCAACGTTTCTGTTGGTAAGCTTTCTTTTACTAAGGCAGTCAAATAGATTCAGGCTTGTAAAACCATTAACCAGCTATAAAAAAATGTCAGACTAATTAATGTCCAATAGAAACAATTCCAGTTAATAAATGCATTCACAACTGTATCAGAGGATGTATATTTTGATCTTCATTATATAAAAAGGTGTAATATATATATATAT